CCAAAACACACCCAAAATCCTCTCACCAACCCGAACCTCATTCCCCCCCTTCCCTCCTCCACCCCCGCACCAAGCACCCTCTAACCCTCCTCTCCCCCCCAAATAGGAGCGCTCAAAAGGAGGGCCTCCAACAGCCTCAGCCAATGGGAGTGCGCGGCGCTGATGACTCATCAGTTGCCAGGCAGAGCCGCAGCACCCAGTGCTCCCTGCCCGGACCCCACCGGCGCCCCCCCCTCGCCCCCAGAGCCCCCCGGGACGGCAATTTGGGCAGGGGGCGGGGGCCCAGTGTGGGTGGGAGCCCGCGGGGCTCGGCCCTGCCCCGAGGGGGGCTGATCCTGCCCGCCCGCTCCGAACTGGGCCGGACTGGTGCTCCCAGTGCCGAGCGGGCTGGAGCCGCTTTTGGGGACCGTCCGGCACAGCCCGGCTGCTTTTGGGGTGTCAGCACCTGCCCGACGCTGGGGATGGGCCGTGTGGGGGGAGCTGGGGCCGTACTGGTGGTACTGGTGGTGCTGGGAGCCCCCCCGGCTGCGGGCGAGGAGCTCTAGGGTGAGTGAAGGGGGGGGGCCAGGATGGGAAAGAGGGGGAGAGGAGGAAAAAGTGGGGGGTGAAGCACTCTCTGACGTGTGTCCCTGCTCACACAGGGGTGTTCCAGTGGATGCTAAAGCTGGAGTGTCATTTCATTGACGGCTCCGACCGCGTGAGGCTCGTGGAGAGGTTCGTCTACAACCGGGAGCAGCTCGTGCACTTCGACAGCGATTTGGGGCACTTTGTGGGGGACACCCCCTTCGGGGAGATCCAGGCCAAGCACTGGAACAGCCGGCCGGAATTGGTGGAGCAGGGCCGGGTTCAGGTGGACACGTTTTGCCGGCACAACTACGAGGTGTCCACCCCAGACCTCGAGAGCCGCAGAGGTGAGCGCGGGGCAGAGCGTGTCCCCTCGGCCCCTGCCCCGGGAATGACCCCGGGGCCCCTCAAAACCTCCCTGGGAATCACCCAGACCCCTCGGCCCCTCGTCGTGATCTCCTGCCTCATCCTCAGACCTCTTCCCTCTCTCCCAGTGACCCCCGAGTCTCTCCCAGTCCTTCCCAGTCTTTCCGAGTCCATCCCTGCGTCCCCCCGTGTGTCCGGCTCGTATTCACAACCCTCAGCCAATCAGAGCGCGCCTCTCTGATGACTCATCAGTTGCCAGGCAGACCCTCAGCGCCAAGTGCCCCCAGCACTCCTCGGCCTCCCGGTCCCTCTCAGTCCATTCCCACTCCCAGTACCCCCGCAGTCCATCCCAGTCCCTCCTAGTCCATTCCCAGTCCCTCCCAATGCTCCCCCGCCCTTCCCCCTCTCTCCAAATGCCCTCCCGGCTCCCCCCCGGGTCTCCCTGCTCTCTCCCAGTGCCCCCCAGCGTGTCCATCTCGCTGGTGCCGTCGAGCTCCCAGCCCGGCCCCAGCCGCCTGCTCTGCTCCGTGATGGATTTCTACCCTGCGCCGGTGCAGGTGAGGTGGTTCCAGGATGGGCAGGAGGTCCCGGAGCACGTAATGGCCACCGACATGGTCCCCAACGGGGACTGGACCTACCAGGTGCTGGTGATGCTGGAAATCCCCCCCCGGCGCGGGGTCACCTACACCTACCAGGTGGAGCACGTCAGCCTGGAGCACCCCCTCAGCCGGCACTGGGGTATGGCCAGAAAGCTGGGAGAGGGTTTGGGGGTCCTGGGGGTTACTGGGAAGGGGTTTGGGAGAGGTTTGGGGCAACTGGTACAGAGTTTGGGGGGTCCTGGAGGCAACTGAGAGGGAGTTTGTGGGTCCTGGGGGTACCTGGGAGGGAGCTGAGGGAAGCCAGGTGGGGGACTAGGGGTGTGATTTGAAAAAATGGGGAGGATGAGAAAGGGGTCGGGGGGCTCCTGGGCACTCGGGGAAGGGACTGGGGGAGGGTTTGAGGACTTTTCAGGGGACCAGGGACAACAGAGAGAGTGGTTGGATGGTGCTGGAGGCGCTGGGAGGGGGTTTGGAGATTCCTAGGGGAGCTGGGCAGGGACTTGGAAGAGGTTTCAGGAGTCCTGGGTGGGCTGGGGGTCAACTTTAGGAGGAAATGTAGGAGGTTGTGATGGGGTCTGTGAGATGTTTTGGGGCTCCTGACCCCCCTGGGCCCCCCAGAGATGCTGCTGGACACCACCCACAGCAAGATGCTGATGGGGATCGTGGGCTTCTTGTTGGGCTTCATCTTCCTGGTGCTGGGGCTCGGCTTCTACCTGTGCCAGAAGGTGAGGGGGGTCCCCGGGGGTCATGTCCCCCTCTCCCCACAGTGTGTGTGCCCCCCAGGGAACCCCCAGCCCTGGTGTCACCCCCTTTTCTCTCCCCCCAGGGATCCTGAGCCAGCGGTGGCCG